CAGAGAAGCCACTATCAAGAATAAACTCCTCACTACTAGTAGGGAAAACGTGCATGCAAGTAGCAGCGTTAAAAAGGACAGGACCATCGGACTCTTTGGACTCATCTTCACTTGTAGAATGACTTGTTATATTTGCTATGGCTGCCTTACCTTTTTCAGATAGTAGTTGAGGCGGGGGGACTCAATTAGGAGGCTTCTTAGGACAAGCATACCACGGGTGACCCCACTCATGACAACAAAAACACTCAAAATTAAACTTTTTAGCATTCGGGGCTTGGCTGAAATTATTGACTCTTGGCGTATTGACTCTTGCATTCCTAGGCTGGTATTGATTGGGAATCGAAGGCCTTGGCTGGACATAGGGACTGGACTTATAGGGAGGACTTAACTGAGGAAAACGAGAGGGTTTGTATGGGTTGGAAGGTGACTGAAATTTCGTACCGTAGTAGGGTTGAGGGCGGTTTGGGCTGAAATTTCCTTGCCTCTGGAATTGGTTGCCATATCTTGTGGCTGTTGCAGCACTCCACGCACCTTCGTCACTCCGCTTGTTCCGTGCAAGGTCTCGACTCTGCTGCTCGTTGACAAGGGCCTCAAAGATGAACGCACGACTCTTCATTGACTGCGGGAGCGCTTGTAGTGTTGCACGGAAAGTGTCCCACTCCGGTATAAGGCCGGTGAGGATGACGGTCTTGAAAAGAGACTCTGGAATCTCCAAGCCGATCGCTGCTGCTTCCTCCAACATTGCTTCAGCTCGTTGTAGGTAGGCTTGTGCTGATTCATCTTCTTCAATCTTCAGATTCATAAAGCGGCTCCACATCTCGGCTTGGCTGCTCTCGGATTTTGACTGGTGCATAGTCTTCAGTCGGCTCCATGCTTCCTCTGCACTATTTGCCTTGGTAGAAGAGGGCAGGAGCGACTTCAACTGCTGCTCGTGAATGCTATTGAGTAGGTAGAGGAAGGCCTCCTTGTTGCGTCGTTCGTAAAGTTGTTTTTCAGCTTCTGAAGCATCTGCTGCTGGTTTGGCTGCTTCTCCAGTGTAGTAAGGCTACAGATCCAGAAGGGATGTAGTGAGCTCAAACTGAGTTGCCCATGTTGGAAAATCTTTGCCATTGAACTTGGGGAGGTGAAGCTTAGGCATGAAGGAGGTGAGTGGTAAGTATGTTGTTGAAGGACTGGCTGGTGCAACTGCTTCCACTAATCCAGTAGCTGCTGATGTTGACTCTGAAGCTCCTCCGGCTGGCTGGAGTGCAGGACCAGATGGATTGTCTCCCGCCATGTTCGTATAGTGCTAGGATAGGAACGTGGTGGGCTAGGTTGATCGAAACGACGAGCTCTGATACCAACTTGTAAAACAGAGTAGCTCTGATTACTGGAGGGCTGGAAACTTGGCTGGAAAGTCTTAGCAGGGCTGGTGGAATTGACTGGATGAGGTAAAACTTCACTATGTTCAAGATTAATAAGCCCACTAAAGCACAACACTATAGGCATCACAAACAAGACAGATTGAAAGCTCAAACTAGGCTGATAGACAATGTAACTTCCCTGGTAACTTGGGCACAATCTAGATTGGATGGACCTTGAGTGACTTTGAGTGCCACATGAGGTGCATGAATAAGAAAACTCTGGATATTTCTGTTATAGCTGATTCTGATGTGTAGAAACCTGTAGAAACTGCCAACACTTCGGTTTGAAGGCAGCTTTGAACTGTATCGAGCCTTCGGCTGAAATCTGATTGGTGGTGGAACTTTCGAAGTACTTCCCGAAGCCTCTGATTCATCGCCGACATTCCCCCTTGCTGCTGCTTGTGTGCAAAGGGCTAGGGCGGCAGAAACTGGATTCTCCAACAAGAAGGAGGGAGAGCGAAGGAGAAGCATCGAGAATGAGATTGACGAGGGGAAAAATGTGCTTCGAGACCAAGGCGCCTTCGAGAAAGTTCGGGATTCGGACTTGCGGAGTGTTCACCGAATTCGGTTCGGTTGCGTGTGCGACTCGGGGTGAAACGAGGCGCACGCGGTTACTTGGGAAACAAGTGAAGTTACGAATCTCATTTTGTGTCTTGCCTGACTATAAAACTGCTTGTACTCATTCTGGAAATCATACCAATCAGATTCTGAAAATTGCTGAAGTGTGTATTGACAACTTCAAGCAAAGCTGCGCATATCATTGGATTCGGGAGATCGTGGAGAACACGATAAGCAATAGCAAGTAGACTATTGCCGACTAATGTGCTTACGATCCTAGGAATACTACTGTCGCCGCATCTCCCGCAGAATGTAAGAGACAGGCAGATCATGATTCGACATTAGAATGATCGAGCCGCAACGCCCCCGCTCCCCTCACGCCCCACCCTCTCACTCCGAGGATCCGGCGGTGCAACTCATTCCTGCTGGGGGCGTCTTCCGCGCGCTGCGGGGGGAAGAAGTGCGCGCCCGCTTCCACTGATCGCCGCCTCCACTCCGCAATCGACTCCACCGCGCCCTTGCTCCCCGCGCCGAGGCGTGCGTGGATCCGCAAGACGCTGAGAGAGAGGAGCAGGAGCGACACGAGTAGACGCGGGAGGGCGCCGCGGCGCGAGAAAGCCGCCGCCCAGAAGCCTGGCGGCGGTGACTGTCGGTGCAAAAAGGGCATAGTAAGGGGGCTCTTAAAGCCCTCGCGGGAGCGGCAGGAAGGAGGCACGGCCGTCATACCACTAGTAGTAATGCCTATGATGGTAGTAGCCACGGGGAGAGGACTTGTCTTTTGCGAGAGTCACCCCACTTTACGGCGGCGTACTGCATATGCGATGAGGGACAGTGATCGACGAAATCGTTGCGTAGACTGGTCCTGTTCGTTAGGAACCGATAGTTGGGGTAACTGACTGCCAGTGGCAAACAAACCAGCAAGGAACTCCATATTTGGCGGGAAACCAGGTTCGACACAGCGAAATCGCACGGCGGCACTTCAACAGTGAATATTGCAACGGCCGGACGGGCCGTCCACGAACCCGTTCGCCCCGGCCCCTGGGCGACGCACACCGTCGACCATCGCTCAATCATCGTGTCGGCGAACTGCGTCACATGTATGTCCGTCACTGTGTCGGACGGCGACGGGGCCGCTAGGGGCGGCAACGGGGCCGAGAAGGGGCGGCGACAGGGCCGCGAAGGGGCCGCGAGGGGCCGAGAAGGGCGGCGACGGGGCCGCTAGGGGCGGCGACGGGGCCGCTAGGAGTGGCGATGGGGCCACTAGGGGCGGCGACGGAGCCGCGAAGTTTGGCGACGGGGCCGCTAAGGGTGGCGCGAGGGGCCGTGAGAGGGGCAGCGACGGGGCCGCGAAGAGGCCGTGAGGGGCCGAGAAGGGCGGCGGCGGGGCAGGAAGATGCCGCGCGTCCGGGGCGCACGGCGGGCGGAAAACCGCCACGCGCCCCGAGCGCGTGGCGGGAAGAAAAAGGTGTCACGCGCCACGCGGCGCGCGACAGACAGGAAAGCAGCGGAAGCACGTGGGGCCCACAGGCCAAGAGCGTAGTCGCTCTGATTCCATGTTAAGAGACTAAGTAGGCTTAGGAGCCATAGCTTAGGAGCTTAGTAGTTGAGAGGTCGAGGGTAAGGAGAAGTGTCGAGAAAGTTGTGAAGGAGAATGTGTTGTTCACTATAGCACAAGAGTACATATAGCAAACAGAGCATGCAAGGTGCACCACCAACAAGAAAGTTATGTGACTACATTATCCTACACTACAGGCAGTTATAGACAATATATATAATTATATATATTATTCTGACAGGATGCTTTCCCCTTCTAGCGGCCATTTTCAGGTGCATGCAACTTAGTCGAGGCGCGCTATTCAGGTGCATGCAAGGTTGCGCACACTTTTCTCAGGTTAAACTATGTCACTCGTAATTGCATGCGTTGTTCAAGATTCGATTAAATTTGGCACAAAAGATCTGAAATAGATGCAATTTCGGGCTACGCAAATCGGGATCGGAATGGTTGGCTCTCGATGCAGCATTTTCTGACGTCACTCAGTGCAATGATTGCACTTCTGCCCAATTTCTACGCAAACTTTTGCATCGCACCAACTCTTTTCGAATGAATCTAATGCTAGATCTGTTGTACTATTGACGCAGATGACGGACGCTGCGCATGGCAAATCAGCAAACCGTTCGTGAGTGCTTGTAAATTATTGCCTCTACCAAAAAATGTTTTGCCGTACATGTATATTGGAAAAGGTGGTGTGCCATGGCGTTAATTACGCATCATTAAATATACATGTAACGTACGATATATCCTTAGTAGCCGTAGGGGTAACTCCCTCTAACACTCGGGCATATTTATCGTGTTTCGTATTACCCTTTCCAAAGAATGCACGTCCCGCTAGGGTTTGCTGGTTTGACCCGCGAAGCATCCGCCACCTTCGCCAAGAGTACAAACGATTTACCATTACAATTCGTCTGAAAAGAGTTGGTGCGAAGCAAAGATTTACGTAGAAATTGGGCAGAAATGCAATCATTGCCCTGAGTGACGTCAGAAAATGCATCATCTAGAGCCAACCATTCCGACCCCGATTTGCGTACCCCGAAATTGCCTCTATTTCATACCTTCTGTGCCAATTCAGATCGAATCTTGAACAGCGTGTGAAACTACGAGAGACATATAGTTTAACCTGAGAATAGTGTACGCAACCTGGCATGCACCTGAATAGCGCGCCTCGACTAAGTTGCATGCACCTGAAAATGGCCGCCCTTTCTAGTGAGTAGTGTGCACGAATGAATTGTCTTATGTGCCACGTGTATGCTGCTGATAAAAAATTTCAAGGCTCGAGGCGCGGAATCACGAGCTGCTCTCGAGGTAACGAATACGGTATGCGTATATCCACCTCTAACACTCGAGCGGTAAACCTTCGAACCCTTTTCTAACCCCTACGATTAAACATTTATTTACTAACAGTTTGACAGCAACTAACCTAGATATTATGGGGGTTCCCCAGCGGCAAGTAAAAACATGAGTGGTGCACGAACCAAACTAAATCAATCTTGATGATGTGGTGGGAGCAGATAGTTTCCTTCCTGTTGAGCAAGGGAGGGGGGTAGTATGGTGCATGATGTATATGGGAACAATGTTGCAAACTATATTCGTCAAGGGCAATGGAGGGATTTTATGGGTTTCATAAGTACATAGCAGCATAGCCCAGATAAAAAGACAACAAGTCAACAAATGCGATCATGACTCTCACTGCAGCATCTCCCTCTCTCAAACCCCCCCCCCCCCCCCCCCCCCCCCCCCCCCCCCACTCATTCCCCGCATGTCTTACCTGGCCTTGGTGAACCACGTCCACGGCCCATTGCGCCAGCTGTCCCACCTGGTGCTCCCCCCCACGGAAGTCTGTCTCCCGGGCTGGGACTACGCGGGCTAGGAGGCTTGGCGGCCCACGCACTGCCGCCGCCGCCGACGCTGCTGCTGCTTGCAAACCCTGCACCTCCAGCGCCACCACCAACTCTACCACGAACCCCGTGCGGGGATGCGGAGTGAGCATGCATGGACGATGTTGACCTGGATGCAAGGGAAGGTGAGCTGGCGCCTGCGCCTCCTCCAACCACTCCACGTCCCCTACCTCCCCCAGGCACCGGTGACGCCCGCCTCCTCTCATCAGCCATCATTCCCACACCACTGCTACTACCAGCACCCAGTCCTGCTCGTCCCACACCTGCTCCCCGAACAGGTGAGCGACCAAGCCCATTCAACCCAGTTCCTCTTCCTGCTCCCCCGGTCCTTGCTCCACCGTACCCTGCCTTGGGGCCTGCAGCTGCAGCAGCAGCCGCCACTGCAGTGGCAGCAGCAGCTGCTGCTGCAACCGCCTGCATGGTACCAGCAGGGTCGTCAATACCAGGAGGAGGGGCGGCAAACGGGTGGTGGTGGTATGAGTGAGAGAAGGAGCGGGATTGGGTGAGGCTGGCACGAGGGCTTAGCATACCCGTCGACCTAGGGCTGATCAGACCAGAGGCAGTGGCAGGGTTGAGGAAAGTAGTGCTGCTGCCACACACACTGGCTGCACGAGGGGACATGGCCGCAGCAATGCTGGCCGCAGAGGAAATCCCACCGCTGCCAATGCCACCACTGCCGATGCCACCACTGCTTCCAAACCCACCAGCAGCAGCGGCAGCGGCAGCAGTGGCGGACCTTGGAGAAGCAGCAGCAGAGAGCGAATGCGCCCCCACAAATGCTGATGATCCACGGCCGATTCTCGGTGAAACCTGCGACATAGAAAGCTGCCGCTGCTGCTGCTTCTGGTTGCACGGTTGCGTAGCAGAGGCATGCAGAGCAGCCGCAGCAGGGGCAGTCTTGCAGCCATAGAGGGACAAGGGCTCATCCAATAGGAACCCTTTCTCCTCAGCCTCCATTCCCAATAGTGCCTCCATCCCTGGACCCGCATCCTCCCACGGCCACAGCCCCCCAGAATCTGCTGCCCTGGGCCGTCCCTTCGCCCCTGCTGCTCCTCCTGCTGGCACTGAGACTGCTCCCCCGGCCTGTTGCTGCTGCTGCTGCTGCTGTAGCTGCTCAAGGCTGCAGCTGGTGGTGTCAATGCGGAGGTCAGGGCGCCGCCTGCCTGCCCCAAAGTCCATGAACGCGCCGGCAGACGTCGCCGCGTTGAACGTTGACGTAGCTGCCGACGCCACAGACGAGGTCTCGAACACATCAACATCCGAAGCAGCATCGCCAGCAGCAGAGAAGGAAGCAGCGGCAGAAGCAACACCGGCAGTAGGTGTAGTACCAGCAGAAGCAGCGTCTGCTGCAAGGCTAGCAGTAGCAGCACTGTCGGGGTAGTAAGCCGAGCTGTTGTTGGCGCTCTCCTCTGCTGGTTCCAGCATCATCAGCATATCCGCCTTCCCAGCAGCCACCGCTGCAGCCATGGCTGCTGCCTTTGCTGCTGCCGCTGCTGTCCTCCAGCTCGCTGCACTCTGCGGCTGCTGCCGCACCCTTCCTGCGCTGGCCCCCCTGCGCCCTGCTGCAGCAGACGCTGCTGCCGAGACTGGCGATGAGGAGGTGAGGGAGCGGGAGGGGGTGAGGGATGGCGACCCGCGTGAGTATCCAGCCCCACCAGCTCCCGAATGTCTGGGGGACGTGCGGGCGGAGGAGGAGAGGAGGGGAGACCCAGCAGCAGAAGCTGGGTAGTGGCGGGCAGAGAGAGAGGCAGTACCTCCCCGGGTTGCACCCAGATGGACAGGTGACGCCCGTGTGCTACTGCTGCCGCTGCTGCCCACGGTGTTGCCCCTAGTGGTGGTGTTGTTGATGCTGTAGCTGCCTTGCCTGTATCCCGACCCGCTGACACCGCTCATGGTGCTGCCGCTGCTGGCGCTGCCGTTGGAATGCACACGGCTGGGCGAGGAGAAAGGCTGCTGCTGCTGCTGATGCGGGTTGGCTCTCTGCCGGATGCTTGCTCGATCCGCACTGCTAGAGCGGGGAAACTGCTGCTGCTGCTGGGTTCTCACGCCTGCCTTGGCGCCTGCTCCTCTGGCTCCAGCACCACCACCTGCTACTCTTCCTCCTGCTGCCTTGGCAGCTTCCACAGCAGACTTGGCAGCTGCAGCTGCCAGTACTAGAGGGCTCTTGTGCTGCTGCTCCTGCTCATACTCGTACATACTGGCCGTGTCGAATTGCTGCCAGTTGATGCTGCCACACTCACTGGCGCCACAATCCATGCCGTCAGCACCACCTGCGCCAATGCCAACTCCAACGTCAGCGCCCGTGCCGGCACCAGCACCAGCCCCAAAGCCAGTGGCACGAGCACCAGAAGCAGCTCCAGACGGAGTGGCACGAGCACCAGAAGCGACAGAAGCAGCAGCAGCAGGACCAGCAGCACCAGCCGAAGCGGCTGATCTTCTAGCAGCAGCAAGAACAGCCACCGCTGCAGCGATGCTGCTCGTGGTGCTGCCTCCACTGCTGCGCATGCAGCTATCCATCAGGGCTCGCCCCTTCCCACCTCCTGCAGCAATCGCTGCTGCAATGGCGCCGCGCCTGCTGCTGCACACACTGCCCGACGCACTCCCTCCTGTGAGGTACCCCCCATACAGCACCTCCCAGTCCATCTCGCTCTGTATGAGTGCCTCCCATGCCGCCTCGTCCTCCGCCTCCTCTGCCCTCCTCCGCTGCTCCTCGTCCATCGCTGCTGCCGCATCCTTCCCAGCCGATGCACCAGGCACAGCACCACCAGCAGCAGCAGGAGCGGCAGCCGCACCAGCACCGTGCTTGGTTCGGCCTGAGAAGCTGCAGCTGCCACCAGGAAGCCGATCAGTGGGGAAGACCGCGTGGCGAGAGGGGGGCGACGTGAAGCACGAAGTGGGCAGAGACGTGGGGTGGGAGGGCGGGCTCATGGGCCCCAGTACGTCGCTCAGATGCCCATCACCGCTCTCCAGATCCTCATCATCCCATACACTTCCTGATGCCTCCCACCCTTGCTTCCTTTCTTCCTCCTCCTCTCCAGTTTCCTTCCCCTGGGCTTCTACTCCTTGGGCTTTTTCCTCCTCCTTTTCTGCAGCAGTGGTAGTGGCGATTGAACATTTTTGCGCCACTGCTTTCTCCACTGCCAAAGAGGCTTCATCAGCCTGCGATGGTAGCATCTCTCCCTGCTCTCCCTGCTCTCCCTGCACACCCTCCTCCTCACTCGCCTCCTTCTCCACTCGTGTTACCTCGGCTGTTTCCATCCCCTCTGCAACCACCTTCTCCTCCTCGCCCTCCTCCACCATTTCCTCCGCCTTCTCCTCTCCCACCTCGCCTGCTTTCTCCACAACAGCGACGGCGGCAGCAGCAGCAACAAGAGACGCAGGGGGCGCAGCAGCAGCGTCAGGAGTAGCACTGGCGGCATAGGTGATGGCAGCAGCAACACTGGCTGCAGCAAGGCTGGCTGGAATGTCAGCCGCACATGCACCCTCCTCGTCAAAACCTTCAGCAACAATGGTATTCTCCTCCTCTTCCACCCCCTCCAGAACCGCCTCTTGCTCCACCTCCTCTGCTCCCTCCGGCCCTCTCTCCGCCTCCCTTGCCTCTACTTCAGTTTTCTCTCCGTCTTCTTCTGGGCACACCAGCTCCTTCTCTTCGTGCTTCTCCTCCTCCTCCTCCTCCTCCTCCTCCATCAGCATCATCAGCTCGTCCACTCCTACCAGACTCACACTATCACGCAAACCACCAACTCCCATTTCCCCCTCCTCTACTTCTTCCTTTTCCTTTCTCTCCTCCCCCTCCCCTTCTTCCGCTTCCTCTTCTTTACCCCCCTCCTCAGCATGCACCTCCTCAGCATGCACCTCCTCCTCCTCTACCTCCTCAGCATGCACCTCCTCCTCCACCTCCTCCTCCTCCACCTCCTCCTCCTCCACCTCCTCCTCCTCCACCTCCTCCTCCTCCACCTCCTCCTCCTCCACCTCCTCCTCCTCCACCTCCTCCTCAACCTTCTCCTCCATTCTCTCTGTGCGCCCCCATTCCACCGCACCAACCTGGGTCTCATCCCAACCAGCTGCTTCCACCAATGCATTGCTCTCTCCCTCCTCTCCTCCGCTCTCCCTCTCCCCCTCACCGCCACTCTCTGACTCTTCTGCTCCCTCCACGTCCCTCTCGCCCTCGGATACCTCCTCATCCGCCTCTTCCCGCACTGCACAAGCCACCTCACTCACTGCAACTGCTGCTTCCATTTCCTCACCCTCCTCCTCACTCGCCTCCTCCTCTGCAGCCTCCTCTTTCACCCCCTCCACTCCGTTCACTTGCTCGCTCTCATCCTCCTCTGCTCTAGTCGCCTCACTCCCGTCCTCCACCGCGTCTGTCGCCCCACTTTCCCTTCCTCCCACTGCCTCTTCCTCCTCCTCCTGCTTCTCTGAATCAATCTCATCCTTCTCCTCGGCTTCCACCTCCTCGGCCGCCACTTCCTCTGCGGCTTGCTCCAGCCCTTGCATCGCCGTCTCCCACTCCTCCTCTTCCACCTCTTTCATCTCTTCCTTTTCGTCCTCTCCCACTTCCTCTTCCCCGTCACCATCCTCTCCGAACGCTTCAACCAGGGCCTCCAAATCCAGATCCGCCTCTTCCTCTACCGCCACCTCCGCCTCTACTGCCAACTCCTCCTCCTCGCCTGCCGTAACCGCAGCCTCCTCTGCCACTCTTCCTTCTGCTACCCCCTCCACCTCCACTTCCTCCGCCTTCTCTTCCGCCTCCTCCACTGCACGCGCGTTCCCAGCGTCGTGCGTTCTCCCTGTCAGCACCGCCTCCTGCATGTCCACTCCTGTTTCTGTATCAACCTGCTCCTGCACCTCCTCCACTCTTTCTTCCTCCGCCACTGATCCTCCCTCCCCAACTGCCTCTTCCACTCCCACTGTCGCAGTCCCTTCCCTTATTTCCACCTCTTCCTCTCCCATCACACCATCCCCTGTGAGACGCAACAACTCACCAGCCTCCTCCACCTCCTCTTCCGCCTGCTCTCCGTCCCTCCCTCCCTCCTCCCAACGTGCCTCCTCCTCCTCCTCCTCGTCTGCCTCCAGCACCTCCAAAACTGCCGCGCCGTCACTCTTGTGTGCTGCTTTCTCGTCCGCTGCTATCTCCTCCGCAGACCATACGTTCTCGTCTTCCACCGCACCTGACACCCCACCTTCCACATCCGAAATCTCTGCCACGTATACTTCCACCTCCTCTTCCTGCTCCTCTTTCTCCCCTTCCTCTTCTTCCTTGTCTTCTTCCACTTCCTCCTCCTCCTCCATCTCTTCCTCTGCCTCGTCCTCCTCGTCCTTCGTCTCCCCGTCACCATGCACCACCACCACCTCCTCCTCCAGCCCTGCTTCAGCTTGCACCTTTGCCGTCCGCTGCTGCTCCTCAACTTCCACCTCTCCACTCTCCTCTCCCTCCTCTCCCTCCACTCCATCCTCCGCTTCCTCTCTCCCATCCCCCTCACATTCCTCGCCTCCCGTCTCGTCTGTCAACAACTCAGACATCTCAAACCTCTCACTCGCCACCTCCTCCTCCTCCTTTTCCTCCTCTTCCGCTCCCTCCGCCTTCGTCTCTTCCTCCTCCGCCGCCATGCCTCTCGCAACCACCACCACGCCTGCTTGTTTAACCTCTCCGCTCTCCTCCACTGCTGCTGCTGCTGCTGCCTCTCCTTCCGAAACTCCAGAGGCTTCGGCCACGGAGGCATCAAGCAGCGCCGGCTCGGCGTCAGCATTGGAAGCATCCACCACACCATCAGTGCTTACAGCATTAACGGCGTCGACAGAAGCAGCCACTGCATGTGGTGTAGTCACAGCAGCTGGAGCAGCAGCGTCCTCCTGGCCACTCCCAGACGCAAGGTCAAGGAGCATGGACGAGGACGACGGCTCATCCCACTCGCTCAAGTGATCGTCCGCAAGAGAGGCTTCCCATTCACCCCCCACCTCCTCCTGCACCTCCTCGCCCGCCTCCTCCATCCCCTCAAGCACGGCTTTTGGCGTCTCAAAGTACGCCTCAGCTGCGGCCTCTGCCTCCTCCTCCTCTTCCCCCACCTCCTCCACCTCCTCCACCTCCTCCGCCTCCTCCGCCTCCTCCTCCGCCTCTTCCTCCAGCACCAATAGCTGTCGAACCTCCCTCTCGACCTCGAGCCTCTCAGCCTCCTCCGTCTCAGCCTCGTCCGACTGCACGTCCACTTGTGCTTCTGTCAAGGGAGTAGCTTGAACTTCCCACCACGCAGCAGCAGCATCTTCCGCTGCTGCTCCTGCCTCTGCCGCCGCTGCATCTTCAACATCCTCACCCGTCTCCTCTTCTCCCTCCTCGTCCTCCTCTCTCCTCTCGCAGAGCGCCACCTCCATCGGCAGTGTCTGCTCATGCACAGCAGCACCATCCGCCACAAACACTTCAAATTCCTCCCCGCCTGCTTCTTCATCACTCTCCTCCTCCACCTCCTCCACCACCTGCACCACCTGCACCTCCTGCACCTCCTGCACCTCCTGCACCTCCTGCACCTCCTGCACCTCCTGCACCTCCTGCACCTCCTCCTCCTCTTCCCGCTCCTCCCTGTCCTCCTCCTCCACCTCCTCCTCGTCTACGGCAGCTGACTCGTGCGCCTCCGCCATCCCACCACCAGCCCCGGTCTCCGAGCTTACTCCGCTCACTTCTTCCCATGCCGACACTTCCTCCACCGTCGCCTGCGACTCACTCTCCTCCTGCTCCTTGCTTAAATGACTCGCTTCCTCCTCTTCCTCATCCTCCTCCTCCTCCTCTCCCCGCTCCTCCTCCTCCTGCACCCCCCCACCGTCCACCAGCCATGCCACATCAACGCCATGTATTACCTCCTCCTCACCACTTCCGTCCTTCGCCTCTTCCTTCTCCTCCTCCTCCTCCTCCGCCTCAACGAGTCCTTCTGAGGCGGCATGCGCAACAGCAGCATCTGCAGCAGCATCAGCATCAGCATCAGCATCAGCATCAGCGTCAGAAGAGGTTTCAAAGCTAAGGAACAGAGCAGCATCCGTTTCGTCGGCCGCAGCATGTGCTCCCAACGCCCCAGCAGCAGCACCCGTAGCAGCACCAGCAGCAGCAGACGCAGTGGACAGTCGCAGCGAATGGTCGGGCGACAGGAACTCCACGGACGACAGCAGCATGTCGAATTCCAGCGACGCCGTCAGGTCGCAGAACGGCAGCGCCGGAGACAGCGGCGCCGCAGGAGCAGCAGCAGGGGATACAGCAGAGGAAGCGGCAGGGGAGGCGGCAGGGGAAGCCGCAGGAGAAGCGGCAGGAGAAGCGGCAGGGGAAGCGGCAGGGGAAGCGGCAGGAGAAGCGGCAGGGGAAGCGGCAGGAGAAGCGGCAGGGGAAGCGGCAGGGGAAGCAGCCGGAGAAGCGGCAGGGGAAGCGGCAGGGGAAGCGGCAGGGGAAGCGGCAGGGGAAGCGGCAGGGGAAGAGGCAGGGGAAGCGGCAGGGGAAGAGGCAGGGGAAGCGGCAGGGGAAGCGGCAGGGGAAGCGGCAGGGGAAGCGGCAGGGGAAGCGGCAGGAGAAGCGGCAGGGGAAGCGGCAGGGGAAGTGGCAGGGGAAGCGGCAGGGGAAGCGGCAGGGGAGGCGGCAGGAGAAGCGGCAGGAGAAGCGGCAAGAGAAGCGGCAGGAGAAGCGGCAGGGGAAGCAGCAGGGGAAGCAGCAGGAGAAGCGGCAGGAAAAGCGGCAGGAAAAGCGGCAGGAGAAGCGGCAGGAGAAGCGGCAGGAGAAGCGGCAGGAGAAGCGGCAGGAGAAGCAGCAGGAGAAGCGGCAGGAGAAGCTGCAGGAGAAGCAGCAGGAGAAGCAGCAGGAGAAGCAGCAGGAGAAGCAGCAGGAGAAGCGGCAGGAGAAGCGGCAGGAGAAGCAGCAGGAGAAGCAGCAGGAGAAGCGGCAGGAGAAGCAGCGCCAGAAGCCACGCCGAGGTCCTCCAGCTGTGCTGCGCTGCTGCTGCAATCATCCGAGTCCCTCTCATCCTCGTCCGCCTCCTCCCTCCCATCTTCCATCACAACCGCTCCTTGTTCCTGCTCCCCGGCCCTCTCGTACTCCTCTCTCGCCCATCTTTCTCCCACCTCCTCCTTCCTCCCCCCCTCCTCCACTTGCTCCTTCTCGTCCCTCGCCTCCTCCTCCTCCTCCTGCTCCGCCTGCTCCGTGTCTGGCGCAGCGTCCTCCACAGCCAAGGCCAGCAGCGCGGAGAGGTCATCATCATCATCCTGAGGGTTAGCACTGCCCAAACACGGCCACAAACTCACAGCAGCAGCATCAGTATCGTCAACAGCATCAGCAGAGCAGCCGTGCTCCTCCGCATCCTCCTCCTGCTCCTCCTCCCTTACCGCCTCTATCACAACCTCCTCCTTCTCCAGTGATTTTTCCTCCATCTCCCCCTCCTCATCCTTCTCCCCTTTCGTTTCCCCTTCATCGCCTTCCGCCTCCTCCTCCTCCTCCTCCTCCTCCTCCTCCTCCTCCTCCTCCTCCTCCTCCTCCTCCTCCTCCTCCTCCTCCTCCTCCTCCTCCTCCTCCTCCTCCTCTGCGGCCTTCACAATGTCCTCTAGATTCATCCCCTCCACCACCATCGTCTCCTCCGCCGCCCCCTGCTCCTCCTCCTCCACCACCTCCTCCTCTTCCTCCTCCTCCCAACGAGCCTGAGTGCCTTGCTCTTCAGCAGGGGTCGGAGCAGGCGCGCTCGCCGCCTCTGCCTCGCTCTCTGCGTCAGCCTCCTCTTGCTCACCACACCCTCCTTCTGCAGCAGCATCGCCATCGCTGCTCACACCACCGAGCTTCTCTGGCGTAGCGCCGCTACCTGCGTCTGCCGCTGCCGCTGCTGCCGCTGCGGCTTCTGTTTCGACCTCGATCTCCATCCCGCTCTGTTGCTCCTCGCCTCCCCGCCATTCCTTGTTGGCAGGAGCAGCAGCAACAGCTTCAGCAGCAGGAGCAGCAGCAGCAGCAGCAGCAGGGGCAGGAGAAGGAAGCGTAGCGGGGCGGCGCAGGTGCGTGTGGCGCTGGTAGAACACCGCTCGAGCCTCGTCGATCTCATGCTCCGGCTGGTGGCAGAGACAGGGGCGGAGAGAGAGTGGGGGAGGGGAAGAGGGAGTGGGCGAAAAGGGGAAGGGCGATGTTTGATGGGAGAAATGTCGAAGTGTGTAAAAGGAAGAGCTGGAAGGGGAGGAGGGAGCAGGGGTGGGGCTGAGGAAGAGAAGTCCAGATGCGGATCAAGGGAGGTGAGCAAAGGAGAAGGGTGAGACGCCAGGTGAGCGACAAGCCGTGGCGTGGTGTGGTGCATGGCGCATGACCAGTCCAGCCAAGCCCATCGGAAAACCCTGTAGTAAGGGGCTGGGGACGAAGAGAAGGGTAGAACGAGCGCGACGGTGGGAAGAGAAGAGAGGAGAGGATAGGATCGGATAGGATCGGATAGGATAGGGCCCTGCAGCAGCGACGAAGAGAATGTGGTAAAGAATGGAAGAAAGGAAGAAAGGGGAGGTAGGGGGAGGAAAGGAAGAAAGCATGACATGAAATCCAAGCCAATGCCTGGTACTTCTTTTGTCCCCCATGCCATCCATCCACGTTCCTGCATTCCCCCGTCACCTTTTTCACCTCCTCCAATCGACCCTCCCAGCCCAACCCGTCTACTTCGTCACTCTCTCTCGATCCCCTCCCTTCCTCTTCTCCATCCCATCTCTCTCCCATTCCCCTTTCCCCCCGTCCCCTCCCCTTTCCCCTTCACCCCCCCCTTCCCCCACCTGCGCGCCGCATTCCTTGGCGAGCTCCAGCAGCCGCGCCGCCACGTCCACCGCGCCGTCCCGCTCCGCCGCCGCCACCTGCTCCAGCCAGTTCCCGCTCGCGCGCAACACGCCCGCGCCCACGCCGCTGCGCAGCATCTCGCGGATCCGCTCCTCTTCCTCCTCGCCGTCCCCCTCCTCTTCCTCCTCCTCGTCCTCCTCTTCCTGTACTGCTGGATTGCCCGCGTCGGCTTCGTCCTCGCTAGTGATATCCTCGACATCGATTCTGTCCGCAAGAGCCGCGTAGCCTTGCACGTCCGCCGCACTTGCCACTCCAGCTGCGCTCGCCGTTTCCACGATGTCCGATTTTCCCTCCCCGGTATCCGCCTTTCCTTCCGCCTCCCCCTCCTCCTCTTCTACCTCCACGCGTTTCGAAACCGCCGCCTCTCCTTCCTCCTCGTCCTCTTCCGCCTCCTCCGTCTCACCGCCCGTGGTTTGCGCTTGCAGCACCATGCGCGCGCTTCTGAACCCCATCCCCCACCCGATGGCCGGTGCAACTGCCGACGACGTGGCGGAATCACTCTTTCCCTCAGCCGCAGCCGCTTTAGCAGCCGCAGCGCCAGCGCGGAGCTTCCGCTCCCCTTCCGCCTCCGCAGTCTCTTCCCCCGCTTGCTCCGCGTCTCCCAAATCGCGCTTTTCCTCCCCCACCTCGTTGTTCCATGAGCGCAAACTCCCCACAAGCGCGGGTCTAGCCCGCGCGCCACCTTCCCCTTGCGCCGCTCCGCGGCTTCCCCCCAGTCCCACTCGCCCCACATCCACCAGCGCAACTCCTCCTTCCTTCTTCCCCCCTTCTGCCCCAGTTTGCGCAACGCTTCCGCCGTCCGCCACCGCGGGTAGAACCGTTCCAAAAGGCGCTTGTGCGCGCATCTCGGGCGTCCGGGGTTCCGCCTCCTCGGAGAAGTTAATGCGCCGCTCCAGCGCGCGCACCTGCTCCTGCACCTGCCCCGGCTGCACCGGGATCACCTCTTCGCCCACGCGCACGAATGCCCGTGGAGGCGGAGACGGAGTTGCGCCTCCACCTGCGCCTTCCCCCGCGTACGGCGCGCGCTTGTCAGGGCTGGGGCTGCGCCCGCGCTGCTTGCTCTTCCGCATCCCGCGGGAGAGCGCCTTGATCAGGTACGACCATCCGCGGAATACCGCCGCTTTCTTCTTCCGCTGCGGCATTTCCGGTGGAGTTACTCCGCCGTATTGCTGGTGCGCGTAGTCCAAGTAATGTGAGCCATCTTCGCAATCGTCCTCATCCGTTTGCTGTCGTTCCTGCAGCTGCAGCTGCAGCGCAAGCAGGCCCGCACCGCCCGCTCCCGCGCCCGCAACTGCGCCGGGGGAGCTTCCGACGTGCGGTCCGCCTGGCCCTTGCGCCACGCGCCGTCTCTCCCCAACCTCGTGTTCCCCAACTGCTAAACACGGAAACCCGTGATGTGCGGCGCTTTCCGGTGTATGACGAGCCGCGACTTCCCCAGCATGCGCCGCCGACCCGGCCGGTCCTTGCATGTGCGCTGCCGGCGGTGGCGGCGCGGCTGACCAGAGCCTGCCCACGCGACGCGCGGGGAGAGTTGGGCCTGGCGTCGCGAAACTGTTCGCTGCCGTAGTAACCGTTATAGGCGGGGCTTCCTTCCCCCTGCGCGGAACGGGAGACATCGAACGCGCGCGCCTTGGGCTGGACCGGCGCCCCGAGAACGCCCACTTCGCGCCCCATCCGCCCCGCGACGGGGAAGCCTCCGCTGCTGGGGGACCAGCGAGGGGAGATGCGCCGACCGGGAGATTCAGCGGGCTGGGATGCACGCGTGAGCTGGATTGCGCAAGGCAGGGGGACCTTTCACGGGGCGATGAGGATTCCTTCCTGTTCGGGGGGAAAAGGCGACGGAGACGGGGAAAAGCGGAGAATGTGAGCGGAAGGGGGGACGCGGAGGGGGGCTGCTGGTGGGGGGGTCAAGCATATGTATCGGTGCAGACGGAAGGGCAGACGGGTAAACAGTGGACGAGATGCATGTCGCAAGAGGAGAGTGGGGTAGAGGGGGTGCTTGCCGGAGGAGGGCAACGTAGAAAGGCGTGAAGGAGGATAGTGGGGGACGAGACGGAAACGAGCAGTAAGGTAGATATTCGATGGTGGGATTCGAGAATACGCATGTGCACGAGCACGGATAGGAGGCAAGGGGCAAAGCATGGGAAGGAGCAAGAAGGAGAGGGGGAAGAGAGGGTGAGCGAGGGGAGAGGGCATGGTAGAGTACGATAAGCATCGGTTCATTGCCTCGAAAGCTGTCGGACGTGATACAAAGGTAGGAATGCCTTTAGGCTCTACCGCTACAATCCTGAAAATGGAACGCGGCGCGTACTGTATGTCGCACCATGGACATCTCGACGTGACGTGAACAGCGCGCAACACAGAAAACGCGACACGGAAAACGCAAACACGCATAACTCATCATGCGACGCACCTGCTGGAGCCCCAGAATCGGCCTCGCTCTTCTTGTCGGCCGCGCGACATCCGCGGACTCATTTCCCATCGCGTGGCCATGCCGCCGCTACTTGGTGTGTGTGCCTCCATGTGGGAGTGCGAGGAGGTTCAGTATGCGAAAAGAAGTGCCTTTTAAAAAATATTGAAATTTTCGGCTCGATTCGGCAAACAATGAAAAATAGCAAAAGTGCATGAGGTGATGACAGCCGAGGTGCTCGTCCCGGATTCCGCTGTCCTTTTGCTACTCAGACGTTATTAATCGACCCGTCCGCTGTGTCAAGATTTGTCACAATGCCGTGGTTATTCTAACCGACGCATGCTTGCTACTCGTTGCTTCACGAACGTGGTAAGCTCCTCTGTGGAGCTGTATCTTTTCTTATGAGCACCCCTATCCTCTCTCTCGCTCGTTCTCCTTCTCTCTAGTCACATTGCCCAGGATGTCAACGGGAAGCGCCCTGCAAGCGCCCTGTAGTGGTAAAGAAACACTAAAGGTCTTGCAAGGACAGTGGGTGTTAGCCCCCTAAGAGTGAGCGGGCGAGCGAAAGTTTGAAAGCGAGAGGGCGGGAGGAGAGGGAGAGCGAGTTGGGTGCTGCTTCAGGGTACTGTACTCTCTGCTTCACTCACATACTACACTGTAGTACCCGCAGACACACACAGACACACATCCCTCCCAGCCCTCCCTCCTCTCCTGTACACCACCTCCCCTCCCCCCTCCTCCCACCACCCATCACCTCTTCTGATGGGCCTGTCAAAATCTGGCAGCAATTTCACGCATTTCAGCTCCCTCCACGCGGTCCCCTCGGAAATTTGGACGCGCGGCTCGGAATGCGATGCGAATTTGCGTACCAGCTTGTGGAGGGAAGAGGGCCGTTGGGGTGAAATGGGAGCTCCGCGCCTCGTCTATTCAAGTCAGGGGGATGCTTGGGGCTCGGTTCGTGGTGTAGCGAGGTTGGGGAAAGCTCTGGAAAAGGCTACATGGAAACATTTTCACATCATTATGCTTCCAAGTATGCATAGTTTCACAACCCTCTTGTCAATTTTTACATTGTGCACTGGTTGAATTGCACCACTCAACCTGTCATGACATTAGGTCATATAACCTTTCGTTGTCAGTCTAATTAAATGTCACAAAACTTCAGCAGTAGATGGAACTAGTCAATGACGACAGCTGCTTGCAAGGCCGACGCATGCAGTCTATCACATGCCAGTTAGTGATAACAGTTGTTGATATGCGCTCTTACTCCACTTCACTTAGAGCATGCGGAACCACCACCTTGCTTCCAAGCCTTTGCTTCACACTTCGAGAAGGTCGCTTCTTTTCAACCACCGTGCCAGGTACCCGTGAACCCTCCGAACCATTGTTCAATGACGCAACACTTTTCAAGAACAGACGGTTGGTGCCGCCGGCATCACGAACCATCCTCTTCTTTCCCTCCAACCCTAGCCTCCCTTCCAGCACACTCCCCCCAACCTTCCCATCATCGACCACCCGATCCTCTTCATCTCCTTCACTACCCATCTCGCCCTCCTCTCCACCTTCTCCAGATCGTCCTATTCTTTCCCAAACGCTCGGCCGAGCTTTTCTCTTGCCTTCCCTGACCTTCTGCAAAACATCCCGGAGATCCTCAGTGATTTCTTCTCCCTCGCCCCTGCTTCCTGCCAGCCCATCCTCGCCATCTGTGACTACAGGCACGAGTGCTACTAACGGTGCCCCCGGGGGAGCCCCTTCTATTGCCACCATACTGCCAGGAATAACAGCAGAAGCCGGAGCCACAGGCATGCCAACAGCTTTTGCTACCGCTGCAGCAGCTGCGGCTGCGAGTACCTCTGGCTCAGAAGCAGTTCCGAACCGTTCGACCACCCCCTCACTGGCCTCAGAAACGGGAGCATCCCAGTCCACCACACGCCGACCAGCAGAACCCCGGGAATTGCCACCAGGGCCACGAGCACGCCGAGGAGCCATGCCTGATCCATGCAGCCCTGACAGACTGTCCCCGTTCACAGTGACCCCCTCCATTGCATCCGAACTGTTCTCCTCCAGGGCCCTGTCAAGAATGCCGCCTTCCCCTCCCCCTCCTTCCTCTCCTCCATCACCACCTGCACCGTTGCTACTAGCAACGCCAGCAGCAAAACCTGCCCCTAAACGGCCACTTTGCTGTTTACTACTGGCGTGGAAAATTCCTCCTCCTACTCCAGCATTCACCCCTGCGCCATCCCCTCTGCGAAGCTTTGCTGCTCCCTCCTCCTTTTCTCTTAACTGGGCAACGACACTGGCTGGCAGTCCCGTGGACGGGCGCACGTCGAAAATTGTAGCTGCCCGAATGGAGCAGGGCAGCTTCATGCCATCGCAGGAAATGGGCTTTGCTGTGAACCACGGAGCAGGGGGTAGTGCTGGAATAGGAGAATCAAAAAGGCAACATCGCAAGGTGGGAAAGCCATGAAAAGGCATGCTTGCAGACTGTTCATAACGTGCAGAGAGCAAGCTTGAAACAAAAGAAGAAGTGGAGCCTCTACTGTTTACAACTGGCATAGAGAGAGAGGGAGAGTGAGGGGGAGAAAACGAGATAAGGTAAATAATAGACATGTGAGGCCAGTTGAGTGAGTCCATCCAAAGTGCAGCAGACATTGGGATCACCATGCTCGACTGAACCTAGGGTGCAGGAAACAGGTCCGTAGTGACCACCAAGAGGAGTAGACCGTCCTGGCCATGGAGAGAGAGCGGATAACAGAGCCATACTGACCATGAGTTGGAACGCCCTGGTACATGTCATCCAGAGCTGTGCGCCTCGCTAGCAGCGCCCGCTTGCACGTGAACCTGTCGTCAAACACCACATTGCCTGCCAGGGCGATGGAGGGGAGGGAGGGAGGGGGGAAGGGAGGGAGCGAGGGAGGGAGGAAGGGAGCGAGCGAGGGAGGGAGGGAGGGAGGGAGGGAGGGAGGGAGGGAGGGAGGGAGGGAGGGAGGGAGGGAGGGAGGGAGGGAGGGAGGGAGGGAGGGAGGGAGGGAGGGACGGACGGACGGACGGAGGGACGGAGGGGGGAGAAAGGGACGAATGGAGGGAGTGATGGGAGCGAGGGGCGGAGGGAGAGGGAAACAGGGAGGGATGGACCAAAGAAGAGAAGAGAGAGGGGTGTGTGGAGAGCTGGAGAAGAACGGGCTGGAAACAAATAACAAATACTAAGAACTACCAGGTGGCTAGGAGCGTGATCGGAGGATGCCAACGGTTTTGTGAAACAAACGACAACAAAATGAAACACACCGAATGGAGAGAACGACGGCCAATAAAATCGGCATTTGGGAAACCAGAAAGAATGAAAGTTTTAGGAGGGTGCGAGGGGAAGCATCAGAAGCATCAACCGGCAGGGACATTGGGAGGAGAGCATTTGGGGGGAGAAGGAGCTAGGCGAGGGTGAAGAGGACAAACTCGCGCATTCGCGAACGCTCGCTACATCTTTGCGCAGGAAATTGAAGATGGTAATTTTTTATGGTTCCTTACAAGAGGATAAAGACACCCATTCTATCCCGACAGGATTAAATGTTGCGAAATACGCGAGCCAATCCTGAGACGACAGCTCAGCAGGGCCGTGCACGTGCAGGGCCTCCCCCCGCAGTTGAGCCCCGCTTGCTGCGTCCACCCGTGCAACTTCCATCCCCGCGTTCCTCGTTTGCCTGGCGATGGGCAACTTCCGACGGGCTTTATTGGAAACTCAAAGCAATGCGTACTGCGAAGGTGCGCTGGAGAGATAATCCCGTGGAAAACGACGAGAGATACGGCAAGAGGGAAGATGAGCCAACGCACTTTTAGGGACTGATTTGAGGTGCAAGCTTGTCAAGGAACTGTGCCTCGCTTTGTTCGAGGGGGAAGGGGAGGTCATGGACAAAGAGATATCCAGTCGGCATACGCATGGTAAGTGTATTTGGGTTACGTATGGTTGCATATAAGGTATGACTTTTAAAAAATGACAGCATCTCCCGTTTCGTGCTTGCAACGTAACCCATCATGTTGCAGACGACAGCTGCAAACCAGTGTTATCATTGAGTTATCATTTGGAATAAATGGGACCGGCCAACCATCTATGCTAATTTTGCGCAACGCATCCTACGCAATCGCACTCTACATTCAATTATTGCCACAAGTATCTATCGCAAATGTGATGCAACAGATGGAACTTTTCCAGTCCATTATTTTGTTGTGGAATTTGTGATGATGTCGGCCGTTGAAAGGGAAAACCTGTTGGGCTGAGAAGAGCCCATAGGATCTTTGCATAACTAAACTCTTAGTAGGAACAATATAATAGCGGAAGCGTTTAATGATAAGTCTGTGAACCACCTTGCACTGGTATGTGAGGGCAAAGTAGATTGATTAAAACAAGAGGATACAGGGCTTTTACCGTATTCTCCCGTATAAAACACCCTAGGGTATTATGAAAACCACTGGGAAAAAATGGGGGGGGTCTCCTCAAAAGAAAATCTTACATAATACCCGGGTCTTATTATATTGTATATTTTTTATCAAGTAGAAAAGATGTGAAACAAAATCAGGTGTCTGACTTCACTTCAAGATTGTTGACCAGTGCCGCAAAACCGAGTATACGATGATAACGTGACCGCCCACTGGAATCTGCCACGTGGCATATTCGAGTGGGCAATTTTGGCACTTGATAGGGTGAAAACAAATCCAATTGCATGGCGAGGGTTCATGCAACCGCCGGCCAGAATCGCGCACGGTGGTGCGTTCTTACTGTACCAGTCACTTCTTGACTGGTTTGGTCACGTGTAAGTGAGGTGGGTTGGGTGGGGTATGAAAATGTCAAATGTTGTAGCCTGTAGTGAGGTTTGTATTAGGGGGTACAGAAGTGTCAAAATGAGGAATGATGATGCCATTGATGTTGGTTGGGGTACATATAACAAACCCTAACTTCTGTACCCCCTAAGACAAACCTCACTACAGGCTACAACATTTGACAAGAAGTTAGGGTTTGTTATATGTACCCCAACCAACATCAATGGCATCATCATTCCTCATTTTGACATGGTATCAGCTAGGTTAGGATCCTGTGGGATCCCGTTCCTCCGTTCTCCGTTCGTCC